ATGTGAGCCACTTCCCTCTGCCACACTCTTCTGCCATGATCCTCACCTTGAACCCTGAGGAATGGAGCCGCTGTCTCTCTGAGACCTCTGAGACTGGGAACCCCCAGATTAACTTTTCCTACTCTATAATTGTGCTGGTTGGGTCTTTTAGTCACAGCAAGTAAATGCATGACTAAGAGGGACACACACTTTGTCATAGCCCAGAGGCTGGACACAGGGGCTGTGCCAGCCAAGGTGTGATGTCTTCTGGGAGCTGAATCTTACACTGAAATTTTTGCAAAGGTTAATACAATAACATTCTGTTCCTCAACCAGGTTTTTCTACTGCATTTTTAAATGACTATTTTAGAGCCACATGTTTTTAATGGCCAGATAATGTACAAAACCTATAATTATAGGTGGTTTACTTGCTGTGGAGGTGAATATCAGGGTTAAAAGGTATATGCATCTTTCATAAAAGTAAACGCTGACTCCTCTCTTTCTAAAAGGGTAATAACATCTTATATTTCTATTGCTGATACATGAGATCATCCTATTCACCATGTCCCTGCCAGTAATAATTGTGATATCTCTTTAATTATTTCTAGGCTAATGAATGTAAATATTAGTCCATTGTTAATACATTTGTCATTTCCCTGGTTACTAGTGAATTTGAGTTGCTTTTGTATAAACTCCTTCTCTTTTTAGTAGTGTTTTTGACTTTTTTCCTTGAGTTATATGCACTCTGTACATAAAAATATAAAACTGTTATCTGCTTTAAAAATATTTCCTAATATTTTTAGCATTAGAGTTTACAAATAGAGAAGTACATTCTATCTATCTATCTATCTATCTATCTATCTATCTATCTATCTATCTATCTATCTATCATCTGTTTGCTTCCTATATCAAGATACAGCACATTGCCATCACTACAGTAAGGTCTCTATTTTCTCCCTGTCCATCCTCTGATATCACCTAGAGGATCCTCTCCTCTGAATTTCTGAGATCATTTATTAAATTTGCCTGTTCATTTTTGTATCTGAAATTGTGTGTTTAACATAATGGATTGAGCGGATAGGAAAAGGAAAGGCAGTGGAATGAATCTGCAAAATTTTTCCATGAACATGTATGAATCCACCACCAGGTACAGCCACAAGAATGGGCTCCTAACTAGAATAAGACATATTCCATGCTTGAATAATTACTTCAAAATGGATTCTACTGTCATGGTTCTAAAAAGAACCAATAAAAAACCATAAGGGATTGAAATTCATCCGTGTTGATCCATGTATCAGTCAGCCATTCTTTTTTCTTGCTGAGAGATACTCTGTTATTTGAATAATCACCACTTGTAGAGCTCGTTTGCTGTTGATGGACATTTGAATTGCTCCTGTTTTCACCATGATGAACAGAGTTTGCTGTGGATATTCTCATGTGTGAGACATAAAATAGGTGTATTTTACCTTGTTAAAAACCGCTAAATAGTTTTCCAAGGTGAACACCTCATTTTGCCCCCCACCAAAAATATGTAAGACTTCCAGCTGCTTCACATTCCTGCTGACACTTGGTATTGCCAATATTTTTAATTAAGATCATTCCAATGTATACATAGTAGTATCTCACTGTGATTTTAATTCGTGCATCTCTGAGGACTAATGGCATTGAACACACTTTCACACGCTCACTAGCCATCTGTCTATCTTCTTTCTGATGTGCTTGTGAAAGCCTTTCTCATTTAAACTTTTTGCCAGTTTATTACTAATTTTCAAGTGTATTCCACATATGGGTCATTTGATAGATATACATATCAGGAAAAATTACTCCCTGCTGTGTGCTTTGATTTCCACTCTCTTAATGATGACTTTGATGAAGTTTTAGTTTGTTTGCTCCTTTTACTTAAAATAATTTTTTAAAAAAGCATTCCTATTAATTTATTTATTCTTGTTAGTCTCTTTCATGCTCTGAGTACCTCCAGTCATGAAAATGTTCTCCTAAATTCTCTCTCCCAGTCTAGAAACTTTATAGTTTACTGTTTCACATTTAGGTCTATTACTGATAAATTTTTGAATGTGAAATCAACTGTAATTCTGGTTTTGACTGAGTAGCCCGTGATGAATTCTCACGTGTATCACTCAGTTTGGTTCCTCATCTTTTATTTTGGATGTCTACACAAGGTTAATAAAAGAGAACTTCCTATAATCGTCTTATTCTTAGCAATGTCCTTGTCATATTTTAGTGTCAAAGATTGTGACAGCACCATTTAAGTGCTTGTTCAAGTTACTGTTACTCCTTTTCTAAATATTTGAAAGAACTAATCTGCTCCTGGATTGATTTTCTTTTTCTTTCTTTTTTTGGGTGAAAGTTTTAAATTATAGATTTGAATCTTTATTAAAGAATTTTCAGATGTTCTCTTTTCTCCTTTGCTGTGACAGGTGGGTTTGACATAATTTGGGTTGTTGGGCTTTTATAAGGCATTTGTGAATTTCGTCTGCAGCGTCAGATTATTTTTATAATATTGTTCATGATGACCTTGCTTCCTATCAGCCTGGCTTCTGATTTGTTATCCTGTAAATCTTAGGAGTCAGCAAATACCTCAAGGAGAAAAGTGGTAGAGAACACTGGCTTTGTGTGGACAATTCTTGACATGAGCCTTGCTCCTCAGATCCTAGTCACTGTGGTTTCCTTCATCTCCATTCCAACAGCCAGGTGTTTTTAATATGCTAATCAGTTTAAAAGTGGTTGTGCCCGTAATCCCAGTGATTCTTGCAAGGCTGAGATAAGAGGATCTAAAGTTTGAGGCCAGCCTCAGCCATTTAACAAGACCCTAAGAAATTTAGCAAGATTCTGTCTCAAAATTAAAAAATGAAAAAGAGGCTGGGGATGTGGTTTAGTGGTAAAGCATCCTAGGATTCCATCCCTAGTACCAAAACAAAACAAAACAAACAAACAAACAAACAAAAAACACCTCTCCTAAGAGAGGTGTCCTGATACTACTCTATCATAACCAGAAGTGGAGAAAAGGAAATAAATTACATATTTTTAGCACTTTCCAAAAAACATTGTTGACTGTTTTGATCTTTACTAGTATGTGCACGATTTCTTTTCTCTCTTTTTCACTAATGTATGCTCTTGCTTTTGAGGGGTGGGGTGGAGGGGGGGAGCAATTTTCTGTCTTTTTTCTAATTCTCAATGGTTGGACCTTAAATTTTTACACGTTTCCTATTTTATAGTATCTAGCTTTCAAGGTACTATGAATTGCCTCAATAGTGGTGCTTCTCTCCTCTCTTGCCCACAAGTTTTTGATCTTTCCCTTTACAGCATTGTCATATTTATTTCCATTATGATTTTTTCCCTGGCTCCTACATCATTTGGAAGCATCTTAAAACATAGTCAATAGGGGTTTTGAGGTTATTATTATTGCTCAAGGTTTATTGCATAGAACATACACTGTTTGGCTTCAACTCTGGTGTTAATCTAGAATGATTTTATTTTTTAATGTGTGCTTATTTTCCTTTTGTTGTATGTTCTACAAAAATGTGCATTATGTTGAGTATAGTATTCTAAGTATATTAGGTCTACGTTTCTTTTGTTGTTTGTTTGTTTGTTTTGTTACTGGGTGCTTCCTTATGACTGAGCTATATCCCCAGCCCCTACCTATCCCTTTGTAAAAAACACTAAGTTCTCACTAAGTTTCATAGGACCTCACTAAGTTGCTAAGGCTGGCCTTGAACTTGCAATCCTCCTGCCTCAGCTTCCCCAGTTGCTGGGATTACAGGTGTGTGCCAATGTACTCACTGAGGTTCTTACTTTTGATGATACTGTATACTTTAAAACATACTTAGCTCACCAAAGTCTAAAGTTTATAAAACCTTCATTCTCCGCTCAGATAACACTATTATATTTACCTTTAGCAAATATAAATAGAAGAAATGCCATTTGCCCCTTACTCTACTTATATATTAGTATTTTCTGTTATTTTAAACATGTCCTTACAGTTTAATCTTAGTAGTAAGTATTACTACTTTCTATAAGCAATATCCAGTTACATTTGTTCACATATTCATGGCATTTCTTGATCTTAGTTCCTTCTTGCATCTGGTGCTGGTTTTTATTTTTTCCTATTTGGAGTTCATTCTGTTTTGTGTGTGTGGTGTTGGGATTGAACCCAGGCAAGCTCTCTCCCAACTGAGCCATATCCTCAGCCTGAGAGTTTATTCCTTATTATTCCTTTTATGCCTAAATAGGTCTTCAGGAGGTCGATTCAATTTTTTTTTTCTATCTCTGAGATTCTTTCTCTCTTTTTCTCAACTACATTCTTACAAGAGTGAGTGGTTGAAGGTTGTTTTTCTCAGCACACTGATGTCATTCTGCTGTCTCCTGACCCCTGTTGTCACCTGTTAGAAGTCAGCTGACACAGGAGTCACTTGACAATCTAGCTGTGTCTTCTTTTTCCACTTTGTAATTTCCATTGTCTTTTAATTTTTTTTCATTTTGGTTAAGATCACTGAGAACTGAACAGAAAGCATGAATTTAAAAACAACCATACTATGAACCAGCAAATTTACAAAATGCACCAAAGCATGATGTGTGTAACCAGGTATCAGTTCCAGGTTTTATTTGAAGTCTTTTTAGGAGTAAAGATAAGGCAACAGTTTTTCCATGTCAATTCATGTTTTCCAAGAATAACACCATCCACTGGCCTTGTATACTCCCGAGTTTGTAAATTCTAACCAGTTTTTAACCAGGTCTAGCGTTACTCTTCCTGAAAACTTCTTTATGAATAGATTCAGTTGATGAAACCCTGCAAGTACCCGCTCTACTTTCCCCTGTTGAGCCCAAGACCCTACGTTCTTGTCTTCTTCCGCATATTTAATAAACCCAGCTTTGAACTGCTGTAGATTTCCCTGGTGGTCTGTGGGTGGGTGCTTGGTGGCTGTGGAGGCTTCAGGGAGGTCTAGCCAAGACCCCTCACCATTAGGGTCCTGCTCCTGGAGCTCATTTAGCACCTGTTCCACGGAAGCCCCTTGAGTTTCCCTGTTGGGACTTGCATGTCTATGCTGATGGGGCAAGTTCAGCACTTTCTGTCACTCAGGGTTTGTCCCCCCTGCCTCCCGCCCCCAGGAATCACATCTCCCGGAAGTTCTTCACCGTCTTCTCAGAGCTGTTCTTGTTTCGTTTTGACTCATGAAGGTCTGCTAAACCATTGCCTCTACCCATCCTTTCTGTCTATGCCTTTGTGTATCTGAAAGAATAAGTTCCTGGGGCAGGAGTCAATTTTATGATGCTGTTTTCTTAGCCAGGCACAAGGACCAATAAGTAAAATGCCTCCCAAACCAATATTCTTTCTAAAAGAAATAATGAGGCTATGCATTAAAACCTTACAGAAACTTTCCTCAGTCTTCTCTGTGTTTAAGAAATTGACTTTAGGAAAGACTCTTTTTTCCCACATTCCACCTCTGAGGAGCTGCTGATTTCTCCGTCAGCAGGCATGGGACAATTTTTCAAGGTCCTCACAATATTTAATGTCTTCCTATTTTCTTGTTAATCCTTGACTAAATCCATAGAAACTTTGCATTATACCATGTCTCAATGCATGATTCGACTCTACCCTGTTCTGTTAACACTGATTCGCATAATACATTTGTCAGTGTTTTCCGCTAATGGTTATGAACCATCTTCCTTTGCCTGTCATCTAATCTAATAAATCTTGGTGATGTTAGGCAAGAAACTGGCTCTTTTGCATCAGAGGAAGACTGCACTGAGCCTTCATGGATGAGTTCCTACTTACAAAGACACCACCATCACTACCACCACCACCTCGGTGAAACATATTTAAAAACTAAATGAAATAAAGAGATATCTCAGGTTCATGGTTTAAGAAGTAGAGCAACTTGTTATGCTAAGATGCTAATAACCCTCAAAATTGTCTAAAAATTCAATACAACCTCTTAAAAAAAATTTCATCTGAAATTTTCTTTTGACAGAAATTGACAAGATGAGCCTAAAACTCATATAAAAATCAGGGACCCACAATAGTCAAAAATAATCCTGAGAAGGAAGAGTGAAGTTGTAGAACTTGTACTCTGTGTTTTCAGAACTTATTGCAAAGCTATGGGGATAGAGGCCCTGTGGTTCCGACGTAGGGTAGGCTATAGAGTGATAGAATGGAATTTAGAGCCCAGACATCAGCCCTTTCAGTCATGCTGTATTGATATTCATCAGTGTGGCTTGGAATAGAATAGGTTAAACAAGTCATTTTAGCAAATGGTGCTTAGATGACATACAGAAGAATGAAACTGATCCCTTTCCTCACACCACACACACACACACACACACACACACACACACACACACACACACATAAACTCAAAGGACAAATGGAAGACCTAAACCAATAAAAACCTTAGAAGAGGGTATAAGAGTACATCTTTGGTCAGGCAATGATTTCTTAGATACAACACAAAAAGCACAAGCAAGAAAAAAACAAATGAGTTAATTCCATGAAGATTAGTAACTTGTTGAAAAGACTGAACTTTAATGTATGCAAGTTAAAAAAAATGGTATATTTCAGGTTATTGGGTGATTCTAGAATGTAGATGACTCTAGAATATAGACTGTGGCAAAGTCATCTAATTGTATGACAAGCAGATGAAATAAGCTCACTGAAGGGGTGAGGGAGAAAAAAAGGTGTTTAGCAGAGTTTTGTGGGAAGCTGAAGAAGTCCATTAGCATGAATGTAAAGGTGCTGCTCATCGTCACTGTGTCCAGCATGGAGATGCCGGTCAACAATTCTGACACCACTCTGCATTTACAGAACATAATCGAAAAAAATAAGTGCACAGCTGGAGGATGGTGGGAGACAGGTTTCCCACTACTGGGAGGTAGTTTCCCAATAACCAGTTCAGAAGCTAAAATGATCCACACGGTAATGCATCGTTATGAACTCATGTCCAGCTCAATATAAATAGTTATGAGCACATTAAGAAATATTTATAGATATGTGAATAAGTTGGGTTAATGCAGAGGTATTTCTTATCCGTCAGCTGAGAGGGTCTGTCTAAGAAACAATGGTACTTGGGTAAAACAAGCATATCTAGTACCTGATCTTGGTTTCTAGTACCGTTTATTGACAGAATGAATGTGGGCTCCTCTGGATGAATGAGTGCTTCTAAGGCCTTGTGCAGGGAATAAACAAGAAGAATCTAGAGAATCTTGTAGTGCCTGAAACTATGGAAATGTTAAAACAAATAAATCCCTTCACAAAATAGGGGAATGTACAAGGATCACAGGATCCAAAGAGTTCACAGTGGCTCAAATTTTCTTAATTTGCACAATATTAAATTATAACTCAAAGTATTAAATAAACACTCATACAAGTCCATAATGATACAAATACACAATTGAGTGAATACATAAATAAATGGGAGAGAATAGGCAAATCTGTAATTTAGAAAGATTTCAAACAATATATGTAGACCCTCTGCTCTCAAGAACTTGGTACTTAACCCCCTACTCTTATTGGTGTTTGGACATAGTGATTTCACAGTATAGAAAGAGAGAAAATAGTCACTTGGTATACAAATATGTTCATTTTAGGAAAATTCTTTAAGATCTACATATTTCAGTTTTAAAAGATGGTAAGATGTCGAGTGCTTCAACATTAGGTGAAGGTGAGCTTTTTAAACTTAAGCATCCTGGTTATTCCCTTGGTATAGAAGTCTGTGAAGCATTACGTGGGTCTAAATTAGCAAACGCCAGAATCGTTTTGGCTTAGTTTATTTGGCACGTTAAAGATGAAACAACACTCTGGAGACTCCAGCTCCCTTATTTTTCCTTCTAGTTACTATCTTCTCCAAGATAAAAAAAAAAATCACCTATCTTTTGAAAACAACTGGCCTTCTTTACTTGTTGCTTTGAAATTTTCTCTGCCCTTGTTGTTTACATTTTCATTATGTGTCCAGAATTCACTAGGCTTCTGGGACTTGTGCGTTAATCATTTTATTGGTTCCAAAAATATTCTGTCATTATTTCCTCTTTCTCTCCTCTGTCTGTAATTCTTGCCTTGCCCCCTTGATGACTGACTACCGGAAGTTAAAATCCCAGCTGGAGTGGGAATGGGAAGAGGCTGACAGGGCATTTGATCTATGGCTATAAGTTCCTTACGTACATTATGCAGTAAGATTTCTCTGCCATGATGGGACAGGGTACTTTGTTATGTCCTTTTATCCTTGATTGAAGAAGAGTGTAGAATTCCATCAAGGGCTTAGTTCAACGTGGAGAAGGTCTCTTCCAGGTGTTTCTACCTCATGTGGACTTGGGGCCTCTGCTTGTGCTGGGAATCAGATTCCAGATGGGCAGTGTTGACAAACCAGCCAGAAAACATGGCAGCTTTAGTGCCCTTTAACATACCATGGCTACAGAACTCACCCTGCAGTTCCAGCTGACTTTGATTTTTTAATATCTTTAAGATGGTTTTTGTTTGGCTTTTTTTTTTGATTTAGCATTTTTGTTTTAAAGAAGAGTTGATACTAATAGCCCAATCCACCATTACACCTGAACCAGTCTCCCTATTTTCTGTTCTCTGCCCTGATGTCTGTAGTTGAAGTGCATCCACCAGCTCAGTATTCTTAGACTCTGCTATGTGAAATATCTAACTTCTCTTAGGACCTCTTTTAGGTAGCTTTTAGTGTCTTCAGCAGTTTTTTTGGTGGGTACCGTGAGTTGATTCCAGTGCCCCATATATGCTAAATGCTTCACTCCATCAGGGACCTACATCTCTGTCCCTCTTCACCATTTTTTGATGTGGTGACTACCTTTTTATCCTCAGGTGGATTCACACCTTTTACATTCCTTTACACTAACTTTAGTGGTATTTTGGGAAGAGCAGAAATAAGTGCCCGTTTTCAATCTACCATGCTCCATCAGAAGCCTAACCTAAGTTACTAAAGCCAAATCAAAAATCAGAAGGACAATTTGGCTTAAAATTCTAATGTACTTCTAGGACTATGAACTGAAACCAAACTGCTGTGCCTGAATTTTTCTTTTAGTATATCACTTTTAGTACATCGCTCACTTGTCTCAATGTTTTACCTCTTTTCCACCCGTGTGAATTCCTAAAAGTGGGTGTTGTAATGTATTTATTGTTCTGTTCCATAATGCGTCATAGAATGTTTTATCAAATATTATGGATTTCCTGAATGTTTATGAGTAAAAGACAAGACATGTGTATCCACAGTATTATCTAGATGGTGCTAATTAAGTGTTAAGAAATCTTTTTTTTTTTACTCTAAAATTGCAGCATACTTACAACCAAGAGCGCAGTAATTTCACCGCACCGAATGCCTTCTGGAGAATAGCCACAAATGTAGTTTCGATCTAGAAGGAAACCAAATGTGAGGAGAATGATTCCAGCTGCTGCTGCCACGGCACTAAGAAAATTCATTACCCGGCTCACTTTCGCCTGAAATAGAATCAGAGCAAAACACAATGACTTAGGCCCGGCCTGTGCTATAGTCAAAGCAATGAGAGGGTGGCTGGAGAGCAGGATTCTAGTCAGTGTCACAGTGTCACAAGCTAGCTTCATTTCTTTGGGATTCAGCCCTCATCCACAGAATAAGAGGATCCAGTGAATTTTTAGTACATTCCTCCTCCTCCTCACATTCTGCACCCACGATGATTTCCATTTGAATGGGGAGGGGTGCACCTGGGACACAGGGCTTTGTGGGGTCGCTGTGTTCCACTGCATTTAGACCTCAGGGTCCACTAGCATTTTCACTTCAAGACTCTTGTGTCAAACTGAACATTGCATTTCTCTGCAATTTTTATTTCAAGCCACAAACTTATAGGAGATATTCTTTTTTACATATTTACATTTACTCCTATTAATAAGTCAATAAGTGGTTCAGAAAAATCATTTATTGGCTTATAATCAATATCTAATATCTCTGAATCTTTGGGTAGACCTATTCTAGTTATAATGAATCGATAAGTTATAATTTCACATTCTTTAGCAACACTTTTGATTTCTAGATTCTACTTCTGACTTAATTAGGTTTCCTACAGTATGTCTTTCCTGTGGGTCAAATAAGTGTCTGTCAGAGTGTCTGGCGTGCAGTAGGCACTAAATATCCAGAAAGACTGAGTGATGGACTAGCAGGAATATGGAGATGCATTCTACCACTAAGGGACTGAGGAAATTGAACCAGTTGCTTAACATTTCTGTGCCTCAGCGTCTTCACATGTAGAATAAGAATTCGGCTTGGTGACCCAGAAAACACTATTTTGGCACTATCCGAGCTTACGATTCCATGAAAGTGGGAAGCAAATGCCATTTCGTGGTCTGAGTACTTGGCCGTTTGTGGAATTATGGTCACCTAGGGATTTTCAAAACTCATTTTCAAGGCTAGGATGAATAATTTCAAAGTTGTAAGTTTTTAATCAAGGGGAAACATCACTCACCATGGATTCGGTGGTTTTCCTTTTTAACGCAATGAGAAAGGCTCCAGACGTAATGAACTGTGGGAGAGAATGAGTATCTTAATGGGGGCCATGGTTAGCTGACGTGGAAGAGTCCCCACGCCATGGGTGTCCACACATTCCCTTTGCATCCTCCTCCTGAGTTCACATGGTCTTCCCAGGCCTGAGAAGGGGAAGCTGTCTGGATGACTGTCCACACAGGACAAAGGACAAAAACACGGCACTGGACATTGGCTCCAGGCTTCGCTACTTATTTGAGCATGAGATTTTCTTTTAACCTTACGGGACATTAAGCTTTCTCACTCATCTTCCTTTTACGGCTATTGTGTGGACTCAGCTTTGCTGTCATGACACACTAGGTGTCACATCCACTTATCACCAATAAGATCCGATTCCATCTTTCTTACAACCTAATCTTGGGGTTGGTAGCTAATATGCTGTTAATTCTGAACAACAACAATAAAAAATCCCAAGAATTTTCATGAAGGTGAGCCAAATATGATAGCATTATTGTCCAGTGGAAACTTCCCATCCCATTACAGCCCACCCAAGTTTAAGTTTCTAGCCTCCTTGCTGGCATTTCTCCACCCCTCTCCCTGCACGCTCACCCTCTGTGCTAAACTCTTGCAGAACATAGAATACACAACGCTCCCCACACCTCCAGCCTTTTGCATTTATTTCCCCCTTGGCATGCAACAAGACACTCCTATCCCTTGCTCCGGATGCCCTGCATATATCTTCATCATCCTTTAAAACTCAGACTGGAAGTGGCTCTGGACAATGTCCCTTACGCTTTTAGATGCTTTTCCTATGACCTCTGTCATCACTCATCACTCCATGGTAATTTGTCTGACTCTCCACTCAGCTGGGACCTTGAGATTGGGGACTGCCTGTATGAGCAACCCCTAGACTCCACCCATTCTCTGGTGCTAAATTAGATGCTAAAGTAACGTTTATTGAATGTGGTTAAATAGGTCCTCCATGCTCCCCTCTCTGCCTCTCCATTTCTCTAAGGAGGAAGTTGTTCCTTTGCCTCTATTTACCTGACTTCCTACACCTGTGTGAGATCATTTATTCATACTACCTTCATGTGATCCGTGGACAAGTTTTCTCCCTGGCCTGGACTGGGAGCCCTTTGAAGGACTCTCATTGTACTAACTTTTGGATCCTTGTCTTGCTCTATGGATCTAGATTATATTAGAAACAAATTTTGAATAAATCAATGAACAAATAAACAACTACAAGGCCCAAAGAAATTTTCCCAGAGGAATTTCAAGACTTCAAGCTGGGAAAACAGTCATTCTGGTAATTTAATGGGGAAGTAATTTCACAAAGGCTGATTTTTTTTTTCTTGGTCATACTTTTCAAAGCCCACCATACTCCTGAATGTAGTTTATTTCATAACTAGGAATTCCCCGCCATCCTGGGTGGCATGGCTTCAAATTGAACTTGATTGATGATACTCACCAAAGCAGAGCCCCAAAATGGGAATCCTGAAAGAAGTATAAAAGGAAACCTTGGGTAAGGAGGTACCAAGGTGAAAAGAAAAATAATTCCAAAAAAAAAGTTTACAATTCCAATCAGGATCTGAGTAGCCTGTAAATGAGGGAAAAATCATAGTGAGAAAAAAAAAACAAAAGTGATGGGATTCCTTTCTGCTTACATCTTCTTTTGATTAAAAAGATTTGGCAGTTTACCTTCTTTTATGAAAAATAAAAGAATAGTCAAAGTCCCTTTATGATGCTCACAGTTATGTTTTTAATTCCTCTGTGATATTTGTCAATCGGGAAAATGATCTAAGCCAATGTTCCTGAAAATGTGATCTATGGATGGCAATCTCGGCATCTCTTGTGAGCCAGAAAGGCAAAGTATCAATCTTATCCTGTACTTATCAGAATCCCCAGGAGGAAACCAAGAAACCTGTGTCTTCATAAGCTGTCCAACTCCTTAGCACATATGAGTGAATGTTGGAGGAGCACTCAATTCTAAACTGCAGCACCAGCCTGTTTCAGGGAGAAGTGGACTGTCAGAAAACCCCTGCCTATGACCCATGCTCAGCCTGCTGAAGTACTGTCCCCCTCCCAGGGCTAAAGCTCTCTTGGACTCTGTATATTTTGTTCTGTTTTCCCTCCTGTGCCACACTTGTGATGCAATGCAGCACCAAGCAGCAGCCTGACAAGTGTTAGGAAAGACCGCGAAAGTGACATAAAGAACAGAAACTATGGCATAAAGAACAAGAGTCTATGCCCTCTGCCCTCTTTTACTTTCAGTCCACCTTCTCAGACTGAGTGATCTCACTTGCTGCCATAGCAACTATCACTTTTAGTAGAGTCCTAAGTGAGAATATTTTCATGAAGCCTGGACCCACACTTTTTAAAATCAGGGCTTTACAGCCATACACAGTAGTTGGGTTCATCCTGACAAACTCGTCCCTGAATGGACTTAGACTTCAGTTCATGGTGTCTCCATTTCCCTCCCCCTTCTCTCTCCCCTTTCTTGTTCCTTTTCCTCTACTAGAATTCTTTTCCACTCATCTATTAATTTATGTTTGGTTCTTTTTACTTATGCATCAAGATGAAATTCCCTGTGGTATATTTATATGTGCACATATTAAGATTTTTAAAGAATTCATTCTTCATTGCCTCTCCTTTCCCATCCCTCCACTCTGCTTCTCCATTTCCTTCTACATTACTTATCTGCCCTTTATCTTTATGTCATCTCCCTTCCCCTTTCCTTTATTTTACTCTAGCTTCTGCATATCAGAGAAAACGTGCAACCTTTGAATTTCTGAGTTTGGCTAATTTTCCTTTAGCATGATATTCTCCACTTTCTTCCATTTACTGGTAAGTGCCATAATTTCATTCTTTGTTATGGCTGACTAGAACTCCATTGTATATGTATACCACAATTTCTTAATTCGTTCATTTATTGACAAGGACCTGGGTTGATTCCATAATTTAGCTATTGTGAATTGTGCTGTTATAAACATTGAGGTGGCTGTGTCACCACAGTATGCCAATTTCGGATCTTTTGGAAAGACATGAAGGAGTGGGATAGCTGAGTCACCATGGTAGTTCCATCCCTAGTTTTTGAGAAATCTTCATCCTCCTTTCCAGAGTGGTTGCAGTAATCTGCAGTCCTAAAAGCAATGTACAAGTGTACCTTTTCCCCCACGATACTGCCAGCACTTATTGTTTTTATTCTTGATCACTGACATTCTGGCTGGAGAGATGAAATTTTAGTGCAGTTTTGATTTGCATTTCCCTGGTTGATAGAGATATTGAATTTTCTTTTTTTAAAAAAAAATTTATTAGCAGTTTGTGTTTCTTCTTTTGCAAAGTTTCTTAAAAAGTTTAGTTTTTTGCCCAGTTATTGATTGGGTTATTTGGTTTGTTTTTTGGTGTTAAGTTTTTTGAGTTCTTTATATATTCTGCCCATATTAATCCCCTGTTAGAGGAGTTGCTGGCCAAGATTTTCTCCCATTCTGTAGGCTCTCTCTTCACACTCTTAATCATTTTCTTTGCTCTGCAGAAGCTTTGGTAAGTTTTAAAAAATATTGGGTAAAGAGAACCCCAGCCCGTTTATTCCACTTTTGGGAGTGAGCTCTTTTAGGAGGACATATTCTGACTTCTTAAGATCGTAAGTATTATAGAGGCAAATACTGCTCTTACTATAGGAATCTGGGAAATTCAATCACCTCAATAGCCACCACTCATTCAACTCAATTATTAGGATTTTCTAACTGGCTTTCCTGCACCTATCTTCTTTTTCCACGTTTTGAGTCAGTGCTAAAGTAAAATTCCAAAACAACTCCAAATTATATTACTCTTCAGAATTGTTTGAATAGTAACTCCTGAATCCTGTGGGCATTAGATTCACTCAGAGAAATGTTTTAAAGATAACAGATTACTAGTATTCTTCCTCCTCAAAAATGTGGGTCAGTGGTTCCACATTGAGGCATAGGAACTTGTTAAATACTTTATGAAATAAGCACTTTTAGTAGTTTCAGTAATTTTATAGGTTGGAAACTAATTGTCTATATTATCAAATCTCATAAAGAGGGAACATATAATTATTGAATATCGGGTCTTCAAAGTACCTTCATGGTTGCTTTTGAATTTTTTTTTTTATTATTTTTTAAGTATTATTTCATGTCCAGCACAGTGGCTCATGCCGGTTATCACAGCAGGTTGTGAGGCTGAGGCAGGAAGATGGTGAGTTCAAAGCCAGCCTCGACAACTTAGCAAGGCCCTAAGCAATTCAGCAATTGTCTCCAAATAAAATATGAAATAAAGAGCTGGGGATGTGGCTCAGTGGTAAGCGTCTATGAGGTCAATCCCTGGTATCAAAATACACAAATATGTTATCTCATGATTTTTATTGTGGCACATGACATTTACCATATTTAGCATTTCATTTAAATCAATAGACTTGATATTTTAGAAAAGTTTTAGGTTCCAGGAAAATTGATTACAAACTTAAGAAGTTTCCTACATCTCTTCTTCTTCCTCTTCCTGCCTCTTCCCCTTCATCCCAGCATTTCCTACCACCACCATCTCACATCATGGAGGGACATCTGATACAGCTGATGAACCGACATGGACACTTCATCAACTATAGTCCATAGAGATCACATTAGACCTCATTTTATGTTGCACGTTCTGCGAGTTCTGGCAAAACTCTACCATTGTAGTGTTACAATTTTATACAGAATCATTTTCTTGACCTTAAAATCCTCTGAGCTACCCTATTCATCCCTTTCTGTCTCCCTAGAACCTCTGGCTGGCACTGACTGATCTTTTCATCATCTCATAGTTTTGTCTTTTCCAGAATGCCTTATAGTTGGAATCATACAATAGGTAGCCTTTATAAACTGTCCTCCTTCACTGAACCCTAGTATTTACAGTTTCCCTGTGTCTCTTCTTGTCTGGACAGCTCATTTCTTTTACCAATGAATACTATTGCATGATGTGGATATCCTGTGGTTTTTATTTGTCCATGATGGTTGCTTCCTATTTTTTAATCTTCTTGAGTCTTTGAAGCCTTGATTGACCTCTCCCAGCTCTCTTTTGCCATTCCTAACCTGCTACCATATGCATTTATTTAGGATGTATTTCCCATTTAGACTGTCCTGCCTCCTTCCTCTCTTTTTATTTCCACTTGTTGAAATTCCATCACTTCTTTAGAGTTCATGTTAAGTGCCAAAATTGCCATAAAATTGTCTTGTCCTTTTAGTTGGAAGTAACTATTCTCTATCTGACCCGCCATCACTACCACCATTTATAGCTCCTATTAGATGCTCCATTGAAAAGTAACTTGAATTGTTTAGCAAAATTTTGGATTTCATTATATTTGAATAGATGCTAAAGCAGTTTACATTGATGGTTCTCTTCTTCATTTTACTTGACCATCTTTTTCCACTTTTCTATTATATTTTTTCTGAAAAATTAATTTCTATTTTTTTTTATTCTTGGAGGATGAGGCCTGAGAGGACAAATGTTTTCAGATATGGACAAATTATAATCTCAAATATAACCGAATCCCCACATTATCCTAAAGAGGGATTGGTTAAAAAAAAGAAAATTAATATTTATGGCATGGGTTAGCTGGATGAATGGAGAGATGAGTATTAATAGTATTAAGAGGATATTCTGCAACAGCTGTATGCAAATATACATGTCATTTTCATGCCAGGCTTTGAATTCTGATTTTTGATCAGAAAAAATATAAAACTGGGAAAATTGCAATAATCCAAGACATAAGACTCTGTCCTGTTGACTTTTTGTTGATTTTCTTTCCCATTTTTTCCTCTCAGAAATCAACTAGAAAAATTTAATAGTTGGTCAGTATGGAGAATGTGAATGTCAAGAGCCTACCTAGGGCCCTTGACTTATTCATCTTACATTCTCCTCTTTGCAGCATCTCGTGCATATTGGTATGGAAATGTAATCCATACTCTCTGAATTGAGTGGAAATAAAATTTGGAATTGACTCCTACCTTAAAACATGTGCCACCAGATGTTTCTTTCTATTCTTTCCCTCTGCCCCTTTAGTAGAATTCACACAGAGAGGCAAGTCTTACCCCTAAGATCTTCAGTTTTGAAGTGAGTAATTTCTGCAAGAGGTTTTGAGATGCGTAGGCGGTGGCTGAGAGGACATTTTCGTGATATTCTGGTTGGTTGATCTCTGGAGGAAATACCAGAAACACAGGACTGTGCGTATCCCTTGAGTTCATGATGGTACTGTTGGTGTTTTCAAATGAAAAAAAAATTTTTTTTTAGTTGGTCTTTCAATCTAGACCATGTTCTTTTCCTGTTTCAGGCCTGTCTGGAGCGCTGGCATTGTCTACTTGGGTTTGGAATTATAGAATCATAAGAGTCACAGAGTCATAGAATCTCAGGACTGTGCAAGTTCCCAAGAAAGTCAGAAAGTAAGCTGCCCAGGACTGTGGATCCGAGGAACTCACTAGTATTCTTGATTTGATCACAAACACATTGTCCCCATGGAAAAGTCATATCCCCCTATGCTGAGCTCAGCTTCCTCATGTTTCTGTAGACCAGATCAGACTAGATGACCCATAAAGACATCTTAGTTCCCAACTAAATGGCGACTAGAAAAAATTTCTCATTTTGTATACTCATGCAGGTGGAGGACCAAGCCTCTTAGGCTATAGATCTAATTAGCCAATTTTGGAAGCACACATAGCATCCTTGTAGCCTATCACTGTTTTTCTTTTCTTTTACTCACCTGATTTTTAGTAGCTTTCCCTGGGTAAAAGTCTACCCCAAACCTAGTGGCTTCTAACAACTACTGTTGTTACTTCATTGACACTTCTGTGAGCCATAGTTGGTTCTTCTGGTCCTGTTCAAACTCGGCTCATCTCTACCAACTTCTCTCACACTTGAGTGGTCAACTGGTGGAGTGTCCAGAGTTGGATGAATTAGGATGTCCTTGGTCATGTGTCAGACAGTCGGCAGACTCCTGGTTCTCTTCCAATTCACAGATGCTTTTCATCTGAGTCATATGTTAGTGTTCCCTGGGCCTACACAACTGTGTAGATAGTCCAGGTTCAAATGTAAGGACATAGACTCCATGTCTGTGTGGAAGGATCTGCATGTCAAATTGCAGGGATATGGATAAAATAAAAGAATTCGTGTCTTTTTTTTTTTTTTTTTTTTTTACATTTTGTCTTGTCACCTCTGGTATTTCCCATAGAGATCAGAATTTTATTTGAATTTCCTACTGTCACCAATGTGATCAACTTCTATGCACTTATCAGTGAGAACATTTGTAAACACTGCTCATTCCCTTAAAATGTCTTTTCTTTGGATTTACCCTTCACTCATTCAATTTTCCATGGACATAGAATCCTCATGGTGACTGTCTTTCATAAAACTACCTGATGCTAGGTTAGTATTCTCTGAGTTTAGCAAACTCTCCTCCAAAACACTTCATAAGGTATTATTTTACCCTTTCTACCCATGGCTTAGCTGTACTCTGTGTTATGGGCCAGGCTCTATGGGCAATGACCAAACAGAATCCATTTTACCCTGAGACTCTATGTCATGTAAGGAAAACTTCTCCTATGGGAAAACCCATCTTTGTACCCACTAATTGTTACCTACCATAGCATACTTGGCAACATAAAATGGCAATTTTTATACAATGTAAAATTGTTCTCTCTTTGGTTCCCATTTTTCTTGGAGAATGTACCCTGTCAGAGATTGGTTGTCTACACATTAGTAACCATTCTCTAATTTGCCCTTAACTAGGGTCATCTTGACCTACTTCCCTTCTGCATGTTTGCTGCTATGCCACCCCGGAAAGTCCCATGGGAAATGCCAATGTATCCATTGCATTGTTTTGCTAACTGCACGATTCTGCTTCTGTACTCCTGCTTGCTTATAGGTATGCCAACCCTGATGTGGTTTTTGCCTTTAAATACCCTAAAATGTTGATGCCCCAGACTGTTTTCTGCAGAGACAACTTGGTCCTGTAGGAAGCAGTCCTGGCCGGTCGAAATAAATACTCTTTAATTTGGACAAAAGTGGGACTTGGGGTGTTTTCTGAGACACTTGCCCCACAACATTTTGGACGTTTTCTGGTTTATTTTCCCCCCTCCCTAAGCATGATGACTAGAATAGCATTCTCATAGTATCTGACAAATGAAGAAAGATGGCTTATTTATTATGTTTTAATTCATACAGGCCAATTCTGGTGATACAGTAAGACTCAAATTTGGGAGTTAAAAAAAAATTCTAGACACAATTCCAAGTCCTTTTATTTTCTAGTTATAGTATTTAGGCTAAGTTATCTATGAACTTGCATATTGATATTAACTTATGTATATATTACCTGTTAAATTTCTTATATGGAATAATAATTGTCTTGTAAGGTTATTCTGAGTCAATGATAAAGTACTTGGACTATAGTAGATGCTAAATAAATTCTACTAAAATAAAAATAAAACAATAAGTATTATTTCTATTATTACCATTCTAATCCTAGTGGCCAAATACTTCATTTTTCTTTATACTTCCAAAGTTCATTTGGGTTGGTTTCTTTTATCAGCTACAGGTATTTCCAGGAACTTAACTCTAAGAACATTGAAAATATCGCTATGCCAGCCTAGAAGCTATTTTACCCCATTTTTCTATTTGGGATTGATTGTGAAACTCTATAGGCTTCTGCTAATGAAACCCTAGATGTGTTTATAAATGGATGACATAAATTTGTTTACTATTTATCTTTATTCCTAAATCCTTAGATTCCTTCTTATTTCCCAACTTTCCAAAACCCACTCTTTATATGGGTATTACTCTACTCTGAAGATGGTTTATGGAAAAGTGTAAAATATCTTTGTATTTCTTTTTTTAAAAAAGTTCCCAAATCAAGGTTTTATTTCAAGCTTCTTACTACCAGCTATTCTAGGGAAGTTATGATGTCCCAAATGATCAGACCACAGTCTCTGATTCACAGTCAACCGAATTAGTCTTCCTCGTAGTTCCAAGAAAGGCTCTTTGTATTCTTTCTCTCCTATCTTAATGCAGCTGGAGTTCATTTTTTTTAAAGTTTCTCATCTTTCTCTGTTTTGCAAAAGATCTCCCCTTTAAAAAGATCCATCTCCATACTGAAGAGTTCTGGAGGAACAACTGTCACTTGCTTAGGAGTCCCCAAATCCTCTAGGTTTTTTTTTTCTTTTAATTTAAATTACAAATAAATCTAGATCTTCTCCTCCGAATGATAATGACACAACCTGGCAAATCCCTGGATATTTCCAGATATTTATTGGAAAGGGCAGGTAGATCCGAGAGGAGGAAAGAGGAAAAATATGGAGGATAATTGATGGCTTTTGATAACATAATCTCTTCACAGAAATGAAATCATGTTGGGCTGAGAAACTAGGAGTGAATACAGGTGTAGGAAAGGGACCTAGAGCAACACTTAGCACATTACAGGTGATTGCACTTTATCACAGCCGTACCTCTGCCCTTCCCTTCCCCCTACCTTCCTGTCTCTAGGTATGTGTTGTTCACCCCCCTCCACGCATCCTGTCTTTATTGTCACCTTCCATCTGGTTGAACACTGAGTCAACCTAGGTACTATATCCTTGACACAAGTTCGGGGAAGGAGAATAAATGGGAGACGTGGAAATACCAAAACAGGAAGGATGGGGGTGAGTTTTATTCCTGACTCTTCTGATTCTTGAACACCTCTAGGTCCTGAAAACTTCTAGTTGACTTTCTGACTCTCTCTAGGACACAAAGGAGGAAGCCAAAAAATGTTGGCTCCGCAGGAAAGTCGTCTATGAAGTGTTAAGTTCTAAAATGAATTGGTGATTATCAATTGAAACACTAAATATTTAGACAACAAAAGTTGACACGCGATTTATTCCTTCACTCCCAGAAAATTCCGATATAGTATTAACATGTCATTTGTTGTCATTTTGTTCTAATAAGAATGAATTCTTTGGAGTTTTCTGTGTGCTCTTCATCTTCTGGTGAGCGAATTAGATGGCGACCACAGTTGAGAACATAGGAAAGACTCTGTTGTTCTCCTTCATTTAGCTTCTCTTGTTGGGGGCAGTGTGATAGTTGGGTAGATTCTGCCTGTTAGTCAGACTCTTCAGATTGCGGTTGTTCTTTTGACCAACATGAGCTAGAAGTTATATTCACATCTTTGTATGAGTTTGAGCTAGCTGAAGCATAATGCTCTACCTCTTGTTCTGAATCTATGTTGGACAAATAGTTTAAATCTGTGTCTTGCTCTAAACTGTGGCTAGAAGAAGGTTGGAAATCTGGGTTCATTTCTTCTAGTTGCAAATTCGTTGGCTTCCCTTCTTTGGTGTCTTTCATTGGCTTATCTTCTTCTAGTGCAACTTTGGATTGAGCCTCTTTTTGGTCTTTTCCTTGAAATTGCCTGCTTAGGTTATATTGGGCTGGAGTGCCCTGGGATGGGATTTTCTGGCACAGACCTTTCTGCTTTAGAGATTGTTTCTCTAAAATCTCTAGGGTCTTCTGGTGTAGGGCATGCTGCTTTTCTGATTGCCAGTCTCGTGCGATCCAATCTTTGTTTCTCCTCCCTTGACCTCTCCGGTCTTCAGATTGCTGGTTAAAGTTTTGCCAATTCTGTTTTCCACATTGCAGAGATGGCTTTGGGAGGAATTGCCCATCTTTGTGTTCCTGGCTTGAGGTGTCCGAATCTTGGTACATCTGCTTTAAAGGTTTCCTTATTTGAACTTGCGGGGTATTGGCTTGCCTATTTTGAGATTGTTCCTTTGGGGATTCTTCCTCTTGAACCTGCTGATCTTCAGCTTGTTTGACTTGAGTTTGTTTCTTAGGGATTTGCTCCATAGACACCTGCTGTCCTTTATCTTCTGTATGTTTGGATTGTTCCTTCGGGAATGGCTTCCCTTTTGTCTGAAGATGTTCAGCTGACTCCTCGGAGAATTGTCCTGTGGTTTGGGTATATTTAGCTTGCTTTTTTAGAGACTGCCTCCTTGCAGATAGCCAGGCTTTGATTTTCTGGTCTAGGGATTTCCGTTTTAGAGACTGCCCACCTTTGCTTTGTAGGTCTAAAGAATATCTCCTTGGGGATTGCTTGCTTTTTCCTGGCAGTTCTAAGGAAAATCTTTTTCGGTGGTGCTTCCCATCTCTGGGTTTATGGAATGAGAAAAAGTGTCTTGGGTGTTGGTCCTGAGATTTCCATTCCCGGGTCTGTTCCATGACTTCTGCTCGAATGTCTCTATATAGCATTTCTAAAGATTGCTGGCGTTGAGGTTCAAGATCTTGGGATGGCTGTTTTATCTTAGAGGACCTTATGGAGTAGGATGGGGTGGCCTGTGCTGACAGAGCATTGTAGACCGTGTCTTGCGATGTTGTTTGTGTGGATGCTATCTCTTGGAAAATTGTGTCTTGGGATGGTCTTTCTTCAGTGAGCACATCTTGAGAGGGCATGTCTTCAAATGTCAGATCGAAAGATTGGCTGATATGCGATGGTGGGGTTGCATATAGCATAACTGGCTCAGGAGGGGCTTCTATTAGTACAGCCTGAGATGGCAAGTCATCAGCAGGCAAAGCTTGGAATGTTTGCATGGGCGGGGCTAGAAAATCTTTGGTGGGTAAGGCTTTTTTCTGAGGTAACTGAGTTTCTGTTTGGGTGGATTGTGTCATAACATATTGCATGTCTTGATCATTCAGATTATCTTCCTCTGGAATAGGTGCAGAAGATGTGCTCTTACTACCCTTACACTTATTACATGTTGGCAACATGCAATGGTGGACTAAAGGACTTTTTAAAACCCTTAACTTGAAGAAAGAATAGCCTCCAATGAAAACAGTTTGTCTGTTTAATGTCCTATCAGTCCTAGGAGATTCTTCTTGAAGCTCAAATTGTAATACAGTATTTTCTTCTGGGTCAAGTTGTTCACTATTTGGAGTAACATCTGAAGGTAAGAAAAACACAACCTATAAAACCAAGGGGAGTTGGCAGCATTAGTAAGACAGAATCATCTTTGGTGTTATTTTATTTTGGCATTCTAAATTATCTTTCATCTCTGACTTAAGATGTTAGGTTGGAAATTACATCTGAACGAGGAGTCATCAAACAAATACCCACCCACCTTTACCATCAACTTATTAGTATGGTTTTGGACAGTGATAACCCCTTATTATCTCAAATACTGAACCAGGCCATTTGACTAAGATTGCTTCAAATATTTTCCCCCATCCTTGATATTACCAACTTCTAAGACATTTTAAATCACCTCGTCAATATTCACATATAAAGATTTAATCTATAAAGATTTATTGGTCATATGGATGAACTAAATGCTTATCCATCAAAATGACTAAATGTGAGTTTTGCCCTTCAGGTGCTCACAGTTGTAGGTAGAACAACATATAAGTAGATAACAATAAAACCATTCAGCAACTGCTATTATAGAAATAGACACTTGGTGCTTTATGAGAACATAGAAGATGACCTCATTCTGAGAGAATAAGTGCATGCTTTATAGAAGAAGTGATATTTAATCCACATCTTGACAGATGAGTAGAGATTCCTCAAGCAACAGATAAAGTAAGACAGGAGACGAAATCCAGAAAGTAGAAATAATGAAAACAGAAGGTTGGGACAGAGCATGGTGTGATGGAATGTGGGAGGCAGGTAGATATTGTCCCATGGTGTACTAGGCTAGAGAATTAGGATTTGTATATATGTTGTCTGTATATACATTGCTCTTGTTGAGAGATCTATTGGAGTTTTTTAAACAGCTATGTGACACCGCCTGATACAGCCTTTGATCAGTGCTTCCCATTGTTTTCCGAGATGATATGCTGCGACTGCTTATGATGATGATGAAATTGTCATTGCAACCTAGCCTGCTGATTTTTATCAGCCCATTCCCATTCTGAGATTGTTCATGGAGTCAGAATTGACTTCTTGTTCTATGAAGAAGTGATTGGAGCTCAGTGATTAAATGAGTTACGTTGGCCTAGTTGGTTAATGGTAGACCAAGAATGAGAATTGATACATTCTCTTACTCTATACATTCCTAGTACCCATCCTCCCAATTTGTTTTCTACATTTTTATTTTATCTCTATTAGCACACTACTTATATGAGGATACATGGGATTTCTGTATTTTTATTAATCTTCACCTAGATTTTTGTTTAATTTGCTGAAAGAAAGTTTTGGAGACATGAACTATAATATCCCATGTATTCAAGCACTTAAGTGTTATGATTTAAAATTGACTCATTCTTAACTAAGTGATGATCAAAGCACTAGAGGAAGTTCTAAAGTCATTTCAAGTCATCATTATAACATCCCTAGGAGGTTATTATCTTTATTTCCCAAGACTAGTGACACACAGTTGTAAACCCACACATGGCAGCAATGGACTGAAGAGAGAAACCAGAAAGAAACCACTGCAAATATGACCAATTCATTTTCAAAAAGAACGCCAAAATCATTCCATGGAGGAAAAAGATAGTCTTTTTTAACAAACAGTGCTGGGAAAACTGGACATCTACAAGCAAAAGAATGAATTAAACAGACAACATGCATAAAAATTAACTCCAAATGAATCAAAGACTAAACTTAGGAGTGAAACTTATAAAATTCAAAGAAGAAAAACTTGGGAGAAATATTCATGATTTTGGATTTGGCAATGATCTCATGGATATGACACCAACACTATGAACACAAGAATAGATAAATCATATTTTGTGAAAATCAATAATTTTTGTGCATCAGAGATTACTGTCAAGAAAGTAAAAAATAGTCAGGTGTGGTGGTGCATGCCTATAATCCCAGTGTCTTGGAAGGCTGAGGCAGGAGGATTATGAGTTCAAAGCCAGCCTCATCAAGGTGCTAAGCAACCTCAGGGCGACCCTGACTCTAAATAAAATACAAAATAGGTCCAGGGATGTGGCTCAGTGGCCAAGTGCCCCAAAGTTCAATTCCCAGTATCAAAATAAAAATAAAAATAAAAAGGCTAGAAAATGAGGTAAAATATTTAAAAATCAGGGCTGGGGTTGTTGCCTGGTAAAGCACTTGCCTAGCACGTGCAAGGCCCTGGGTTCAATCCTCAGCACCACATTAAAAAAAATAGAATAAAGATATTGCATTCAACTACAACTAAAAAAAATTTAAAATATAGAAAAAATGAAAATCATATATCTAATAAGGGATTTATAGTAAGAACACATAAAGAACAATACCATTCAATAACAACAAAAGCAAACAACTCAATGAAAAAATGGAAAATTTGCTATGAGATTTTTCTCCAAAGAAAATCTGTACACAGTCAATAAACATATGAAAATTTGCTTTAAATCACAAGTTATTAAGGACATGAAAATCAAAACCACAGTGAGATACTACTTTACACCCATTAGGATGGCTATTATAAAGACAAACAGAAAATAACAGTGTTGGTGAAATTAGGAGTGACTGGAATCCTTGTGTACTGCTTATGGGAATGTAAAATGGAACAACCACTGTGGGAAATAGTTGAGCACTTTCTCAAAAGTTTAAACATAGAGCTACCATATGACCCAGCAATTCTATTCTTAGGTCTATCTCCAAAGCATGGAGTTAGGCTGATATTTGTACACTAATGTTCATAGCACATTATTTACATCAGGAAAAATGTGTCTTTCAACAGATGAATGGCTGAACAAAATTTGGCCGAAAGGATTGCATTGCCTTGATTGTGATGGCAGCAACACAGGTGTATACAGTTTGTCAAAGATCACTGAATAATCCTTGTAGATTCTACTGCCATGGAGTTGATTAAAAAAAAAAAAAACAGAAAAAAATCCTGCCAAACACAGAGCCTGGACTGGTATTTATAACTTAGAGAGTGGGCTGTGGAGCTGAATCCCGGAGCCAGACTCTTGAAGTTCTGTGATCCTGGAGAGGTTATTTAACCTCTTGGTACCTTGGTTCCTTCAAATGTTAAGGTGTTCTCATGGTGTTAGTAAAATTAAGTTGATGCCCAGTGATTACGATAATGACTGACATATTAAACATTTAGTCAATATGATGATGATGATAAATGGTAATGCTATTGATATTTTTTTCCACTTCTTCTCTGGCGAGAGAATGGTCTCATACCTTCTTATTACCACGTGTAAGCTTTCTGTATCCCAGTAATATGGGATCTCATGAAGTCTGACATTTCAGATGTTTTGGCAGGAAGATAAGGAACTGTGTATGAGCGGAAATGACAGAATAGCAGATAGGGAAAGCAGAGCCGTCCTCAAGGTGGGGAGCCTTTCAATCCTAAGGTTGTCCCTCACTGATCTTCCCAAATTTACAAGTTTCAGTTCAGCATCTGAGCTCTACTCTGCTCACCAGTAGACCAGAAGTCACCTTAGAGTGTCCCCACAGGACTCTGTTTGCACAACAACATTAAACGCACCTCATCTGAACTTGTCCATAACTTGCTTCTGAAGGATGCGATAGTCACAGAGATGCCAAGCTCTGCCATGGTGATAATTAATAAGATTGACAAAATTCCCTGCAAATAAGGAGGAGAAATGAATGGCAATTGGAATGAAAGCTGTATCATTTGAAAGATTTAAGTCCAGAATCTCTTACACCCTCTATAAACAAGTTTTGGTAAACTCATATTTTGGATGGTCTTGTAGCCATTAGATATTACATATTTTTCATATCTTTCTGATAAGGCAGTGGTAACAAATTCCAGTACCTATGGGGACCAGGATACCATTTTGAGCAAAACAGGAGGGGAGATGATAGGGAGTAATGGTATTCATAGAAGGCATCCATTACTCCATTCCAGCCAATTGTTGCCATGTGGAAATCTGGGCACTGTGACACATGATTTTTTTTTAACTTTCTTAAGGAAGCTCTATATACACACTTTTTGAAGTAAAATGATTTTCCAGTTATTTGTTCACCAGTGTCAGTCACAAAAAACATATCTGCAAGCTGAGTATGCTCAAAAATCAACATTTTACACACTTCCCTTTAAGGGAATGTTTAGATTGAGAGGCAGCATGGTGGAGTATGGCATCAAAAAGTTTAATCTCTTGAGAAAGAAAAAGCTGGGTACAACTGGGTGCAAGGTTAAACTGCCCCTTGGGCAAGTGACTGAACCTCTCTGAATCTTGGTATCCTTGCAATATATCCCCAATGCTTAGATATTCACTATTTATAAAATTCAAATGGATGAAGATCCTACTGTATACAATTTTTTTGGTATGTGGTGCTAGGGATTTAACCCAGGATCTCATTGCATGCTAGACAAGCATTCTACCACTGAGCTACATCCCTAGCCCCCTACTGCATATAAGTTATTGGATTCAGTGAGGGATTACGAGAGATTTGATTCTGGTTTTATGAAACGTGCATAATTGTAAAGGAGGCAAATGGTAATAAATAATTAGATAATTGCTTGAGTAAATTGCAGTGGGTTCTATGAGAAGTATGGTGGGTCATACACGGTTATAAGGGAATATGTGGCCGGGTCTGAGAGTGGAGGTGTGGTAAAGAAGGGCTTCTTTAAATAAATGATGACTGAACTGAGATTTAAGTGTGAAGGTGAGTTTATTAGGTAGATAGAACAGGGTGAACACTAGACTGGAACCATTCAAAGCAGGAAGAAGGTGGTCTTATGATCCTGGGTGAGTGAGATTACAGGAAGTGGCTGGTGTGTGCAGCAAGAAATTACAGAATAGCAGATAGGAGATATATATATATATATATATATAAATTTTTTTAATGCAGGCGCAATGCAATCTAAGTCTTTGGGAAAATGTATGATTGTTCTGTGACCTTAAAATTAGTCAAAAATTAATTCTTCCAGAGGGAAGTGGGGAGAGGAAAGAATAGGAGAGAAAATGGAATGATTCTATCATAACTTTCCTATGTACATATATGAATGCACTACAGTGAATCTCTACATCATGAATAACCACAAGACTGGGATCCTAATTAGAATAAGATGCATTCCATTTTTGTATAAATAAGTTAAATTATACTCAACTATCATTTATAACTAAAAAGAACAAAAAATAAAAATTAAAGAGAAAAAAACAGGAAAAAATTAAATTCTTGATGTTGATATTAAATGTAAAGACATTATAATGTAACTTTTTTTGTAATGTAAAACTAGTATTTAGTTCACTGTAAGTTAAAACATTAAAATCTATGAATTACAGTGTTTTAAAAAATGTAAATAATTTATCAAGAGTAGTTTAAACACTATTTGCCTTCATTTTACTTATAATAAACAGTGAGCATCTTTCCTACGCCTTGGCATAGGAACCCCAAATTTTTATCAGTTTTGCTTTCAAGGTCTTGTTGTATCTCTGAGGGTTTGATGTGAAGGTTTTTACTGGCATCACTTCCTCTGAGGGGTATGTTCATCTTTTGTTACAACCACTTTTATCATTTATGCCAATAGGTTCGCCTTCACTAAATTCCTCTGGCTTTTCTAGAACTGCCTCTTGAACAGCAGCAGTATCATAATTCCTTCCCAGCCCACTCTATCTTCTAGAACACTGCATTTGAATCCTCCAGAATTTTCTGGACAGTAGAAATGCCTGTATCTTAGAATCTGGGTGTAAATTTCATAGCAGTGCCTTTATCTGAACTTGTAGCTTCACCAAATAGATTAATATCAATCAATTCATGCGGACTTCTGAAATAATGAAACCAGTCTTTACTGGAAGTAAAAACCTCATTTTCAGTTTCATTGTAATTACCACTTTCTTTCAGTGCAACAGCTAACCCCAGTGTTTGGGTCTGAATGCTAGTTAGCCAAACTGGGATCTGTTTTTGATTCGTCTTCAATTTTGGCTGTCAATGGCTTCCTGTCCCTAGCACAATTTAAATTAAGGTGTGGAAGCAACTAACTATACCTTCAATATCGTTCCCACTGTAGCTTCCTGCAGGCCTAGATCTCAACTGTCTCTGCTTTGCAGTTGCCACTTTCGAATCTTCTAATGACATCCAGTTTCACTTCCAGCGTTATCAATTTTCATTTCTTTGTGCTCTGCTATCTTTGTTGACCAATTTCTTCTTTGGAGTATCCATTTCTATAAACTGTCAAATGAGTTTAGTCTCTGGGAGACAAGAAGGCACTAAAACTGTGCACTTTGCTCTCTGTGAATGAACTAAATAAATTTTCAGTGACCAATCACCATCAGCCTTTGAAAGAAGCAAAGTGGCTGATCACTGATCATGATGCACATCCTTTATTTGCAAAATAATTCATGAACTAAAGAGCTAGCAGCAAAATTCATATAACTATTTTCAGTTACTACTATGGTAACTAAAATTTTAACCACTTACTATGGTAACTGATACTTGTGCATATTAACACTACCTGTACCTAAAAAGAAAAAAAAATCATTATTTCCCAAATGTCAACATTTAATCCTTTATTGAGAACTATTAAGTTTTGTCCTGGACCAAATAAAAACAAAGCTTCTCTCAAAGAGTGCTAGTTTCAAGACCAAATTACTTGACAACGATAGAAAAATGTTTTACGATAATTGAATGAAGAACAAATTAGAATTTACAGATGGTCCAAAAATATTCTTTTGAGAATTGTGACTCCTCTTTTCATTTCAATAATGTTGAAGTCTTCAAAGAGTGAGGTTCTTATTACATATAAAATCTTCAAATATGTCCAATGATGTGCTCTAAGAAAAACAACCTTTAATTTTAGTCTTTCCCTGAATATTTAGAATAATTTTCTTCCAAGATCCACGTCTTTTCCCATTATCTCTGAAAGTCAATTCCTTGATATGAATCTTTTTGGCTGGAATCTCCTTTCCTCGATTCCCTCAGGGTAGCAAAGTACCTTTCAGACAAGGGTTCTTAGAATTAGGAGTCGGAGCATGCGCACTTCGCTCAAGCGCCTCTGGAATCTCCTGTTGAACGCCAGCAGCTCCTACCTTCTCTCTGAAACACAGAGCCGCAGTCCCATCAGCGTGTCTCAGATTCTCCTTAATTTGGGCTCCTCCTCTCTGCTTGGCATTCTCAGAATGGGCCTCACACAAGTCGTGATGGCCCCGGATTGATCCCAAGTAGGAGAACCGGGAGGAAAGCAATCCAGTGACAGCTAAACCCACTAGGCCAAGATCTTGCATTCAGTAATGGATGACTTTTTCTTTCCTTCCTTAGGGAGGAAGATAACTTCCAATGGCATGACTCCACTTGCATCCTTAACATTCTAAGTCCCAAACCTTCACGTCGCAGCTGGTGGAGATAAGATGAACTCTCAGGACTTACCTGAGAAACTGCAGGAAAAGGCCTATTGGAATCTTGACATGGTTAAAAATTTAATTCCATTAATTATTTATGAGGTAGATATTTAAAATTGTATCTCTGTTTCTTAGTAAGGATATATCTCATTTGCCTTATTAAATAAAATTCTTGCAAATTATATAAAACCATGTATATCCTAACACTCTTCAAACACCCCACTTTTTAAACTGCTTTCTGTTTTTATTGTTCACTTAGGAAAATTTTTTCATCATTTTTGTTCTATATTGATGATGAAAAAGTAAATCTTTTAAAAAGGCAAAATTGAATCCAATTGATGTTAAATGATACTTGTAATACCTAAAATGATTGACCATTGGCACTGCACTAGGTTCTATTTTAAGTAATCTTCATAACAATTCCATACTGTAGGCATTATTATCTTCATTTTCCACATGAGAAACACTGAGACTCAGAGAGAATAAACGTTTTAGATCAAGGTCATAGGCGTACATGAAATAAAGCCACAGTTAAAAATCCAGAGACATTTGATCATGAATCATCTTAACCGTCATCCCACAGTGTGGGATGGGTCAGTTGACCATTGCTCTCAAAGGTCAGTTCAAGTGTTGGCACTGTTTCAATTATTGTGATAAAAATTAGTGCATCAGCCCAGTTTGGTGGAGCATGCCTGTAATCCCAGGTTGAGGTTGAGGTTGGAGGATCAAAAATTCAAAGCCAGCCTCAGCAAAAGTGAGGTGCTAAGCAACTCAGTGAGACCCTGTCTCTAAATAAAATGCAAAATAGGGCTGGGGATGTGGCTCAATGGTGGAGTGCCCCTGAGTTCAATCTTTGGTACCCCATAACCTCCAAAAAATAAATAGATAAAATCAATGCATGGTTGCATCATGAACTCAGCTAAGATGGAACAGTCCTCATTCAAAATGAGATCACTTACAATGAAAAATGTTTTACCGAGGACACATGATCCATCAAGAGAAAGCATCTGGCAGAACTTGTGTTGGTGTGTGAAGCTGATGAGGATGAGAGCAATCCCGGCCACTGCCACCACGGAACTGATGACATTCATGGTAACGATACCTGGGATCTGGAAAGCAGTTTAAAAAGTAACAAAATAAATAAAAACCCAATCAAACCACAAACACCTTGGAAGAAACTCTTGGTGGTTTTCACTTTCTAGACACTTCTCAGAGATGAATTACTCTAGCAGGTCAGGGTGATAGGAAAGGTTGATAAGATAAATTCTAATTTATCAAAGTCAGAAGATGAATCAATTTTAGAATCAGCCAAGAATATATTCTATGTTTATGTTGAAGAAAATGGTCATTTTATTGCAGTAAACCATCATTCATAATCTCTGAGTGGTGTAGTGTGTTAGAAAATATCTCAACTTGGAAATTAGACTTGATTTTGGATCCTCATTTTGTAAGAACCTTGTATGAATTACTTAGTCTCTTGGAATTTCAATTTCTACCTTTGAAAATGAGAATTACATTGCCTACCTTTAGGGTAGTATGCATTTATTCATTTATTTCATAACTATTTAGTGTGATCCAAATATGTGTCAGGCTGCAGAGATCAAAAGATCATGGGGCTTACATGGAAATCTCCACAAGATTCAAACATGACCCACTAAGTCACTAACATATATTTGAAGATGGTTTGAACTGGGATTTAAAGATGTCCTTTGTTGATCTCAGTGTCGGATATGGAAGGCATACAAAGTTCAGATTGTCTCACTCAATTGCTTTTATTCAAGCCCATTATTTTTGGAGAGGGAGGAGGAGATATACATGTACGTTTGAGTTCCTTCAAAAGAAAGGGGTGCATCTTATTCTTTTCTTCAAACCCACTTTCAGCTCTGATCTTGTCCCTTTAAAGGCCAAAACAAAACTTTCATTTTAAATGTGGCAGATATTTCCTGTGTCTGTATTCATAGCATTGTGTGTGTCTGCTGTGGTGGTAAATGCTGATACACTTATACATCATGCCCTTCCTGGGACTTAGTGTGGCAAGATTTGAAAGCATACTTATGACTTAATGTCTACTAAGCCATTTTTATTGCAAGTAAACTTTTTTTTATTTTGGTAGAAAATGCAAAGGGGCATACAGATATGCCATCTCTCCCAAATTTCATTTCTCCATTCTCTCCAGGCTCTGTTTGGCTCCCATATGATAGTTCATAGACTGAGGTCTCTGGATATGCAAACCCTTATGTGTATTGTGCTTTGTAAAGAGCATACCCCAGTTCGAGTCTCATCTGATCCTTATTACAGGTTTGCAGTGTAAGGTGCTGCATCTCTCATTCCCATTTTACAGATGAATGAGATTCAGAATTAAGTGATTGTGAGTAATCTCACTGTTTGAAGAGCCAGGTCCTCTGATGCCCCCTATGCCCTGCCATCTGCATAGCTCTCCTTGAGTCAGCCATAAGTTTACCTTCACCTTAATATATTTCTCAGCTCTGGAAATAAGTCAAGACTGAGAGAAGAGAACAGCACATGGAACTTCAGTGCATGGCTAGTGTTTATTTCCACAGGAAGAGATGGGGGTGTTCATCCCCTTAGGACTTCTCTATGGCCTATAACTATTCCCATAGGAAGTTGGTGGAGAACCACAAGAACAGAGAGAAGAGGGCTGTAAGCGAAGCCCACATCTCCAGGACTTTAAATCAGATCAGAGTGGTTAGAGGGGAAGAAGAGGAAAATTCAGTATCAGCATGCCTTTAACTAAATCCGAGTTAACCCTAAACAAACAAACAAAAACAGAACAAAAACAACCCTAGAAGTTGGTACTTTTCCTTTCAAGCTGACACAGCCATGGGTGGGGTGCCTCGATTCAGTCCTAGAATCATGCAGCATCCATGTCCAGACCCTTACCTCTGGACCCTGGGCAATCCTGAAGGAAAAGTCTCTGTTCGTATAGGAGGTGGAGTTGGGGTTGGAAAGCAGGAATTACTGGGTTCCTTGGTTGGTTTGGTTGGAGAAAGGTTTCTAAATCTTGGTGCTGTAGAATTTTTAGTCCTTTTTTTTTTTTTTTTTTTTTGACATGGGAGGCTTCCTAGGCATTTTGGGGACACGCAGACACTAACCCTGGCTTCTACCTCCTAGATGCCAATGGCACCCCTACCCGGTTTGGACAACCCAAAATGTCTTCAGACATTGTGAAATATTTCCTGGGGGTGGAGAAAGGACAAAATTACTCCAAGTTTAATAACCATTTAGTTACATGGGTATAAAATGATTTCTATTAATCAACATTTTGAGTTTACTTGACCAGAGAAATGTTAGCCAGTATACGAATGTGGGACTAAGAGGTGGCACTGACAAATAGGAATGATGGAAATCGCAAGTTTGATGTATAAATATCTTCCTGAGACACATCTCAATACTGGAAATATTTACAAGAAAGAAGCAAATGGAAGATAAATTACATAGAAATCACAAAAGTGACTTACCTCCGTATTTTTTAATTTCTCATTGATTACTGTGACGCTTCCTGTAAGAAAAAACTGTCAAGAAGACAGGAGACAAAAGTTAACAGGTGATGTATCTGACAACCTTACAATACAATTTCCTTTGGATTTACCAACTATTTGTCTGTGAATCTCCCAGACAGTACAGTCTCTCCACCTGAGTGTTAAGGAGATGGGGGATAGGTACCAATGTAAGCGTAATCCATGGTGGACTTGCTCAGTACCCACACAGGCTCTCGGCCAGTACGATCTGGAAGAAGCAGGCTCAGAAGACACCACACAGATATTTGGCTCAGCTGGTCTCAGAAAAGAAAGGAATTCCTGGACTTTGGGCCTGGAAGAGGGGAGGAGAGGCTATGTGTGTTCTGAGTAGCAAAGGAGATTTTCTCAGAAAAGACCTCCTATAATTGCTGTTATGGGGACTGAAACCTAGTATAATCAACCCAGCCACTTTTTTAATTTTCAGAAGCATGAAGAGTCTAGAACCACCCAGGAAAAGTGAGAACTCTGCCGCCCAAGGTGGAGACCCTTATTGTTTTAATGCTCAGAGGATGAGAACCTCCTCTGTGGGAATTAACATTGGCCTGTGAGATTACCTGGATCTTAGAGTCCAAGGACCATGAGATAAGAAAATCACCTTGGTGCCTTCCTCTGCTTCACCCCCATCCCAATATGATCACCAAGAGCTGTCAGCTTTGCCTCCAAGTTCTCCTCCAAGCTGTCTGTCTTTATCTCCTCTGCTGTTCAGCTAGTTCAGGGTACCATCTTCCCTTGCTGAGTTACCGCAACCTCCACTTAACTGATTCTCCCAGGTTTGCTGTTATTGTTCTTGAATTCATTTCCCATTAAGAAAACACAATAATATCTGCAAATGTCGCTGCCCTTTCAGAATAACCAGTGGATTTTCCTTCCTCTACATATTGAAGTTTCCATTCTTAACCTGACCACAAGAGCGGTCGCAGCCTGACTCCAGCTTCTGTGTGGCCTCAGTTGGGCTGGACAACCATGGACTCTTGGTCTTCTTTTGGGTGATTTCCTGACCTCAAGCTCTCAGGTCATGCTTTTTTGTTACCCGGGAACACTTTTCTTCAATGTGTGGACAGCGCCTGGTATCCCCAGGCCAGATAATTTCTCCATTAAAACCTCCCCTAGCTCCTGGGAATTCTCTTAGAGCATTGAGCACAAATGTTAATAACCTATGCCACCTTTCTAACCTTTGCACTACGAAGAAGACAGTTATGTGTTCAGAAAACATTTTTTTTTTCCCTTGCAGGGTGGATATTTAAAGGACAGCAGGCCAAAACCCCATTGCAATTCATGTGTGCAGATTATACGGAGTCTCACGGAATTCTGTTGTGCAATGGGGAAGTGGGGAGCTAGTCCCTTTGATTTTCTGCAGTGGGGCATGTGTGGTTTGAAAAGCATGCCCAACATGATATTGTTTGTGTTGGGAAAGTGAGAACATGACCAGTCATTTCTGAAATGCCAATGACAGAAAAGGCATGTTGTGTTTATGCTTATCAGAACTAGACAAGGGTGCCAAGAACATTCACTGTAGAAAGGATAGCCTATTCAACAAATGGCTGGCAAAACTGGAAATCTATATGTAGCAAAATGAAATTAAACCTCTCTCACCCTGCACAAAAATCAACTCGAGGTGAATCAAAGACTTAGGCACTAGAACAGAGACCCTGTGGCTAATAGAAGAAAACATAGGCCCAAATCTTTATCTTGTTGGCCTAGGATCTGACTTCCTGAAGAAGACTCCTAAAATGCAAGAAGTAAAGCAAGAACCAATAAATGAGATGGATTCAAATTAAAAAGCTTCTTTCCAGCAAAGGAAACAACTAATAACATGAGGAGAGAGCCTACAGATTGGGAGAAAGTCTTTACCACATGCACCTCTGATAAAGCATTAAACCCTAGGATAAATAAAGAACTCAAAAAACACCAAAACCATGGGCTGGGGATGTGGCTCAAGTGGTAGCCTGGCATGCGTG